GTTGTTGCTGTTACTCTCTTACTATGCCGAATTTATAAATTATACTTTATCATCATAGGTATATATGTGTAGAAATAAACAGTATATCTAGAGTTCAGTACTATCCACAGTGTCAGGAATCCTCTGGGGATCTTGGAATGTATTCCCCGTAGATAAAGAGGGATGACTGTTCTTAGAACAAAACTTAAGGTAGATGGTTTCCCAGTGAGCCCTTCCTCCTTGTAGTCATGCTTTTGTATAATCCCCTCACTAGAATGTAGGAGGGACTTAATGACTTGCTTTAACAAATAGAATAGAGCAGAAGCTGTAACATGTTGCTTCTGAGATGAGGTTACAAATGACTCTGGTGTCCATCTTGATGCCCACTCTTACCGTTTCTCAACTCATTCCCTCTGGGTGAAGCCAGCTTCCGCATTGTGGGCTGCCATATGGAGAGGCCCACGTGACCAGGAACTGATGTCTTCAGCCAAGAGCTGGTGAGAACCTGGGGCCTGCCAGCAGACATGAGAATGACCTTGGATGTGCATTTTACCCCAACGCATGCCTTGAGATAACTGTAAGGCTCTGATGGCAGCCTTGGAGGGTACCATAAGCCAGAGGTACCCAGTTAAGCCACATCCAGATTCTTGACCCACATGCATATTAGTTTTTTAAGGAGCTATGTTTTGAGGTAATTTGTATTCAGCAATAGGTAACTAATGATACATACTACATATCAAAACCTGGAGATTGTGGCCAAATAGTAAATTTAGAGCCTCAAGTACTGATGTTAGAAAAAGGAGAAAGCCTGAAGATAAATATTGTTAAATTATGTAAAGAAGTCCAGATTAATGAAATGAGAAATAAAGGAATGATGAGAAAAAGCAAAAACTAGTTTTTTGAAAAAACCCTAATAAAAACAGTAAAGCCTCTGGTAAGTTTTACCTTGGAAAAAAGAGAAAGTAAAAATAAACAATCTTAGAAATGAGAAAGGAGGCATAACTATAAACACAGATTTTTAAAACCATAAGAAACTGTTATGATTAATAAATGTGAAAACTTAGACAAAATGAGTGACTCTTAAAAGTCAAGAGTTACACTATTAAAGGAACTCTTAAAAATTGATAAGGAAACAACTCACTTGAAAAAATGGTTAG